TCACAAGAATTTTATATATTTTTTAATAGTAATATATTAAAAAAGAAAAATCCACAGTGTAATAAAGAATAGAAAAAAATCCATTCTCGATTATCCACTCGCTTTACCGCAAAATTTTCTTCATCCAGTTGTTCAGTTATTATTGCTGTATTGACAATTTATTACTTTTTGTCTTTTTTTTTTAAATTGAGAAAATAACAATATAAAAAAATTGTTTAATTTTTCTTAAAACAAAAGAATATTTGATAAATACATTAATAAATAGAAAGCTAAACAATTATTTTACATTCATATTTTTATAATTTTAATCAAAATATAGATATATGTACGTATTAAAATATAGTGAATTATAACAAATTTTTTACTATTTTTAAAATTAAATTAATAATTTACAAAAATTATTAAATTATTCAGCAATAATCCAAATTACGGAATTGTAGATATTATATTAGTACGCGATAAAGGATAAAATTCCGTTAAAGATTAACGTTTTTATTTTCTTTTCTATCTCTCTGAATATAGTGATGCAAACATCTCAAAATTGGGTACTTTCCCGACATAGTAGCGGCTGCTTCTAGCGATTTTACGCTACGTCGAATTTGGCAGGGTGGTTCCTTCCTTCGTGGAGCAAAATTCCAAAACCGGAATCGCGGCAGAATGAACCGACTTAAAAGACGACCGACGCGGTTACTTTGTGATCAACAGGGAAGACGTATTCGTACGACTTCGTGGTTCAGAGAGCTCGCAATGGAAGCAAGAAGCCGGCAACTCAAGGCACAGCGGTTCCAGGTGTTAATAATCCGCCCATAATTGTGCCTCTGCAGCACGGATAATTCCCATTAAACGCCACTAAATACTTGTTTGTATACAAATCCCGCTGCGCGACCAGGACTCTTTTACACCTCTCCCGAGGAGAACCAAGACTTCTTGTCGTCATGCAGAGAAAAACGTCTTTGACATTTGGATTGGACACCGCGATGAAACTGTCATTAGAAATTAAAGAAAATATACACTGTTGATAAAAAAGAACTCGACGCATCTGTAACATTTAAGATAGATTTCCTTAAAATCAATATTTCGTGCAAAACATGTGTTGTAACATAGCATATACAAAATTCCACTGGAAATTTGCTTTGAAGTTAAAGAGTATGTTATGAAATATTATATAAGATTCTTCTATTATAACAAATTCGCTTCTTTTTTTTACTTTACTTTCTGTATCATAAAAATTGGATTTAAATGAAATGTTGCGATATCATTTATATCTATTAGAAATATTAATTAGCGCTAATTTAATAGACATCGCTTTTTTTATTGATCGCTTACGTGCTATAATTACATGTGCTATTATTTATATTTAATTATCCTGATTATCTTGAAATATTTTATGTTCAATATATCTTATTAATGTCAAATTTTTTAAATACCATACAAAAAATTTATTCTTTCTTTAATAATCTTTTAGTATTAATGACACGGCTAGGACGGCGCATCCAATAGCATATTATCAAGTCCAGATGCATTACTGAGATACGGTGCGTCGCGTATCGACCACAAAAAGTATTTCAATGACGGGCCGTGTTACATCGCAAACGTCGTCACCTCGTGTTCCTCGTTGACACGTAGCCCCGAACGACGTTCTATAAAGGGCCGCCGATCCCGTAACGACCAGCAGTATTTGATAAGAGACAGGATAGCCTCGATGGTCGGATGAGCTCGGATTTAATGGATAGACGACAGATTCTGCAGATACATCAGAGAGCCAGTGCGATATCTCGCGCAAACATCAGGACAGAAGCACGTTGTCCTATCTCTCTCTCCCTCTCTTTCCCTCTCTCTCTCTCTTTCTCTCTCTGTCTCACCTCGACGCCCGCCGAACTTCACAACCCTCGACTCGCCTCCCACTCTTTCACACAGCTACTATCTTCCTTGGCTGCACTTTCAATCTCTGTTTCGTTCTAAATAACGATATCCCTCTTCCTCTGCTTCTTTCTCTCTATCCAGCGTGAACAGGTCGTATCATCTCTAATGGCAGATGAAGCGGTGCGTGCTCTTTGTCTCTCCTCTTTCAGGGTTCTTCGTCGATCAGCCGATTCGTTCCTGATATCGGCGATCCTTCTCCCCCGCAATTGCAGAAGATGGTATATCGAGGTGGACGGTGTGCTTAAGGGGCGGTTCGCGCTCGGTTTGCAGCTAGATGAGGGATCGCCCGGATGATATGCTCAAGAGATTAGCGCGTATACGCCCTCGTTACGTATATTAAACCGGAGGTTAAGCCTTTTTCCGCGTAATCGATACGCGATTTTATAAGGCTCACGCAATAAATACCTTCCACTTTTTATACACATACATTATACATTGAAGTAATCGAGATCTTGTGCTAATAGCATGTTATTTTATTATGTTTATACTCTTATTCTCATCATTATTAAAAAGTAATTTTTTAGCTTAAATTAATGACCGTAAAATATCAAAAATTAATAAAGGTAAAAGTTTTATAAATTTGTTGATAATATATCGCACACCCGCAAGAAAAGTGACACAAGTTGAAATTTTTCGAATTTTGTTTTATGTGCGGATTGTATTCTATGTAAGTCTACATCGACCTTTAATCAGGAAAAATGATAGAAGTGGAATTCAAATATTTTCCGCATGAGTCCATTATGTTTAATACTGCCGTTAATAACTAATTTGAAAATTATTATTTACTCAAGCATAGACATGTGAAATTATTTTCCGTAAAATCAAGCTTGCTTCAGATGATTCATAATTTGCGACAGAATTTGAGATAAAAATCAATTTATAATATTATTAATAGGAAACATTAACGCAATTCTTTCTTTTCTCTCTCCTGAACAATTTGATATGTTTGACTTGTGTCACTTTTCTTGCTGATGTGCGATATGTATATTCAAAATACATTTTAATAAATATTTCTGTGACATTTAATAATGTCATTATGTGTTATATTGTGACATGTAAAATTATACTTCAACAATAAGGAAAGTTTTAGTAAATATTGATTTACAAACCATTTATTTCGAAATTATCCTTCTTTCGGAAATATTTTCTTGACATTTTTAAATTTTGAATAAATTATTAACATTGATAAATTTAATGTTTTAATATAAGACAATTTTAATTTATTATTCTAATACTCTTTTTTTCACTCAATCATAATACATATTAATTATAAATTTGTTTAATGAGGCTGTGAAATAAATTTAACTGTGAAAGACTGTGAAAGAAATTTGAATGGGATAGAAAGAAACAAGTGATAATTCACTGGTATCGATGAATTTATTGCATCAGATTGACTCATATTTACAACAGGGACACATACATATGCATTTTCATCTACTCTACCGATTATCTACATATATAACTTTTTGTTTTTAGTTACGCTTGATTAATTCACCGCGATTACTTGCCGCTTATCTAGCTCGCACAATACATACACAGACAAAAGTCTGTTACGTGCTTCGTTAAAATAAATTTTCATCAGACAATGAAGCAAAAAAACTCTATCCTTGTTATAATAATGAATTTTGTTTCATAATGCGATGTTTCGGGAATTTATTTGATGCGCGACAGAAAATAGCGGTTAGGCTGCCCTTTTTTTAGTCACGAGATGTAAATAAAAATGCATAAATAGATATATGAGTTATAATAATAATAATCTTTATAAACTTTCTCGATTCTATTGTAAAGCTCTTAATGATCGTAGTCGCATTAACCACGATATAATCATTATTTAGCTATAATAATTACAATTAGTAATAATAGTGACCAACATTTCATTTGCTATCTATGATTCACTTAAAGCTACTATCACACCGATTTATACATTTGCCTAAAAGTAGATAGATATGCGGTCAACGTGTATATCCACATAATTGTAGATCCTTATCTGTAATTTCACAATACAAAAAATCTCTTTTAACCTTTGTATTCGATTATGCGTCAATCTTGTCTCCTAAATATTCTCGCAATAAAATTTTCATAAAAATAATAAATTTAAAATGTGAATTTCTTGATTTATCCAAATTTCGATGTACTATCAGTATTTTTAAGGAAAAGTTAGATTGTGTTTCGTAGTATATTTCTATTATAGAAACATATGCAAATGTTAAAGTTGCAAAGGTACCGTTTTGAAAATGAATTAAAAGATATCTATTTAATCTTTGTAATAAGCAGAAGAATATAAAATCTTTAAGATCGTCTCCGTACATACACATATTTATTCTGAATGTTTATTTTTACTCGACGTATAGCACAGAGCAATTAACGCATAATGGAACTCGAAGGCAAATGCTCTGTGAGATCTGGACGAATTTTTGATAAGCCTTTCGAACGACTTTATCGTACTCCCATGGCTCTCTATCAGTCTCTGTGTCGAGACGACCCTAATTACAGATCACTTTGCTAATAACTCTCCCGTCCACGGTTACGCGCGTGACGTGTTTGCTTTGCACATACAAATATTTACAAATATTTACATATATATGTGTAATTAGCCCGCAGGAATCTATTGATATAACCATCGACGCTCAGAATCGATCATTAAAACCCTTTCCAATTGGCAAAGGGACTGACAGGGACTATGTCCTGTTGGTTTACCTTCATAACGTTGATATCGTTCACACTGCGAATTATTTGCAAAATCCAATACGTCTGGCAAATATTCCGCAATTCGAAATCACATGTTGATTGGAAGTATCGCTCAAACTGTGCGCAACAACGTGTGCAATCCGGTTGAAAGTTATATCTCTATTTACAGCATATGTATTATGAACTGCGAAAGTGTGACGTAAATTTAATAAAAAATTTTTTTATAACAAAATATTTTTAAAAATAGGAAAAACTAATTTTGTTTACAATGTTTACGATATTGTAACGATATTATTACACGAATGTGAAAGGCTAAATTTGTCAAATTTTAATTACTTTATAAAAATAAACTACAGGAATATTACTTTCTAAACATATGAAAGTAAGAAAATTTGACGGCAATTTTATTTGAGTCATTCATTGTTTTTCTTTCGATTCAAGTTTCTTCAAATTTTATCGTAATAATGTACTTGAACAACCAACTGTCGGATTACGAATAAATCGTTTCTTGTTATATTAAAAGTTTTATCGCACTCGATTAGACGCTTATACAGTTCAGGAAAATACATCGCGAACGTATTCTCCGATCCTCTTCCTTTGTGAAAATTGAGGAAACTTCTCTTCAAATATAAGTCTCGTTTTTCCTTCACTTAGAGGTTTGTGCCAGTTGACTCATGTCAGCCGGATAGCAAGGTGAACCGAGAATGAGAGGATACTGAGTCTTTCTGGGATAATGCATATTCTCGCTCTGTCACAACATCTTACTCAGAGAATGGTAACTGGTGGACCCGGGAGGAGGGAGTATGAACGGACTGACGATGGAGTGTTCCGGCCCGTGGTACACCGACGAGTAGCCCGACTGCTGGTTGTGATTCTGACCCGAGGCATCCAATCCATTGAGCACCGGCGAGCCTGCGTCGTGTAGCTTTCGCATGTGCTTCTTGAGGTCAAAGTTCCTGCAGAAACCCTTGCCGCAGATCTTGCAGGAGAAGGGCTTTTTGTCATTGTGCGTGTGCATGTGGAAGGTCAGATTGTAGATTTGGTGAAACGCCTTGTTACAGATGTTGCACTTGTACGCCTTTTCGCCGCTGTGCGTGAGCTTGTGATTCTTGTAATTGCCCTTCTGGTGGAAACCCTTGCCGCAGAACTCGCAGACGAACGGCTTGAAATTGGCGTGTATGCGCGTATGGGTGTTCAAGGTGGAGCTACGATTGAAAGCCTTGCCGCAGGTCACGCATTTGTGCGGCTTCTCGGCTGTGTGGATGATCTTGTGCCGGCAAAGGGTGCTCGCCTGCCGGAAGCCCTTGCCGCAGATCTTGCAAACAAACGGCCGGGCGCCCGTGTGCACCGGCATGTGTCGCGTCAGATTGTAGTGCGCGTTGAACACCTTGCCGCACTCCGGGCAGGTAAAGGTCTTCTGCTTGTTCGCGGCACCGAGCTCGCTGCGCGGTGCTGGACTTTTCTTACCGCGTTGGTTTTCCGGCGATATGCTGGTCAGACTCAATCTCGAAGAGGCTTCCTGGATGGTTGCGGGAGGTGGCGAACTTTGCGTGACCGACGGGCTCGAAGCGGGAGGGCCTGGAAAGGCCCTTAGTAAGGGACTCGGATAATACAACGGATAGTATTTGGACAGTACGGGATAATGCTGAAGCAAATCCTGGTGTCTCAGGGTCGGCACGTATTTTTCAAACGCCGATTTCAAGTGCGCCGAGTACGATGGCGAGGAGATGTTCGGTGGTTGTTGCAAAATCGTCGTCGTCGTCGTTGCCGGCGGTGCCGGCGGCGGTGGGGGTACCGGGTTAGCGTTCTGCTCAGTCAGTCTCTTGTCCGGTTCCATGATCTTCGCGATGGAGAAGGTGAGATTTCGGCAAGGCGTCGGGGAAGTCACTCTCTCGGGCGGCAGGCTCGTCGGTGTCTCGGTCGCCATTGTGTTGCTCGTCGCGAATGGTTGCATAGTAGGCCTGCAATTAAAATACTGACCGTTAAACGGTTTCCTAGGACGTTCGGCTAACTAATCAGCAATTAACGGGGACCGGGGAGAGCCTATGAGAGTCCCAAATGTCTGTTTATAAATTTTATTATTGAATCTAAAAAAAGTTGAACTCAAAACTAGGCGTGGCCCCATAAGAAATTCATCCATCGGGATAGATGTATGACCCGAAATCTATCCCCACTTCTTTGATATGATCGCACTCGCTGAATCAATAGGAATATTAGTAAACACGGAGATTACACCCAAAGAAATCAATTGATAATATCAAATTAATATATATTAAAAGGCATCTCGAGCCATCGCTGATTGTTGGTGCAAAAATTATTAATGTCTTCACATAGAAATTTAATTCGTCTACTAGAGACATTATTAAAGTGTACACTGATCTCGGATTCGAGATACTAAAGTGTACGAAAATTACATACATTAATCTCATTTTCGAGAATCTGAATGTACGAATTAAAGAAAGAAAGGAAGTTATTTGAAAAAAGGAAAAACGAGAGAAAAAATATCAGGACGCGAGTGGCTAAGCTGGGAATTGAACGCGGATCTTCCGCTTTCCGGGCGACTGTTCTTACCACTAAACTACTCAGACCCCACGCTTAATTGATAATCCTCATCAATTCAGATCTTACTTAACTTTTGGACCAATTGAAAACTATTTTCAATGTTACTTTCTGATATCGGTAAGCTATTGTATATAATTTTAGGAAGGTAAGTAGCAAGCGCGTAAAAAGGACTATTGATAGATGAGACAGTTAGTCTCAGGACGGTACCCCCCCCCCCCCAGGGTTTGAGGATTTTGGGTAACCTATATTATATATTTATCTAAATGTTTTCTATCTCCTTGCATAAGTATGTAAATTTATTTATATTAAACTCAAGTTTTTAATTTAGTATAAAAGAACAAAATTTAAAAATACCAAAAAAAATATTATATATATAACAAAATATTAACGTCTGTTATTCATTAATAGCACATTCAATGTGCACAGGACTTTACTAATCAAAGGGGAAGTATCTAAATTATGGCGTTCAATTTGACGATTTCGTGAACCGCCGCAATTCCGAAGTTAGTGTTTTAGCATACACCAATGGAACCCACATGTCAGTATATCTGAGTGGAACATGTAGTACTGCTGTTATATCCACTCAATTGAACTTGGCGTTTACATACGTAAAAAGAAGAAAACGCCGCGTATTGAATGACGAGGGTAAGTAAATGTCAAATTTCAACAAGCAGACGCAACGATCTGTTTAATACTTTTTCTATACATTTCTTTAGTAATTTGCCGTCTTACATTTTCTGTCCGTAAGCGTTTCCTAATTTATTCAAGAATTTAATCAAGATTAATTAATTTATTTTTTAGTCTTGATACTTTAAGAAAATAATTTTTTTAAATATCTTACACATTATTAATTTTATTTTCTACACAGAGATCTCTTTCAATTTTGTTACTACTATAAAATTACAGCATACATTAAAGATAATGATCCAATTAATTTTATTTTACATAATACATTTAATACTTGTAAAACTAGAGTAAACTATCGAATTAAATTTTGAACCAAACTTTCAGCCGAATTTCGAGTCGAGTCCTTTTGAAAATGTGCGGTTTCATTGAGTTGAATTTCATGCCGTCGCAAGCATTCCTGCGATCCTGCAATATCATGCTTCGTGAAATTTATATCCATGATTCTAATGAAGTCTAATGAAGTGTGTAATCTCGACGTAATATTGTTTGAAACGACGAGGAAATACTGACTTTTGATAGGAACGTCCCAAGTCATGCAATACCGAAATACTCGCAATAAGATTCAATTTCATAATGTGGACACGCGATTAGTTAGCAATAATATTTGATAATAAATTGGATAACACAGAGAGTTTACTTAATTAAGTTTACTTAAGAGTACTTAATTAATATAAAAATGTTAGCACATCTTCACACACAAATACTCAATGAAACAAAGTATATATATTTAATAAGATGCATATGCGCAATTTGAACATGAATTTGTACATGTCAGCTGCACATGTGAGTCAACTATTAAGCATGCGCCAGCTGGAAACGGAAAATGAATGGCGGAGAACTGAATGAGACGCGAAATGGTCAGCACAGTAGAAAAGCAAGCTTCCTCAGAGGTATCGCGGTAGGTTTGCACGTAGAAAAGTAGAAATGTTTGCTCCGTGGAATGGCGTATGTTTGGACTTGGAATGACGGCTGGAATTGGATGGGACCTCGTTGGCGATCTCATGAAATACTCGCGGCTGGATCGCGAAATACCCGACGGTCGTCGGATCTTGATTCAAGATAGGGCAAGTCTGACAACTGAAACAAGCTCGTGTAGTCGGAAACACACTCACCATTAAGCAAACTTTAATATTTTGTTTCTATTGAAAACAGACTGCATTTCTCTTCTATTAATTACAAGTTCTTTTGTAATTTTATTCGATGAAATCTTCGTTTTTTCACTTCTTTCTATTTTAGATAACTCAATAAAAATTGACATTTACATTGCTAGGACTTTCTCACAGTTTTTACCAGATTATAAAATTGATCAAATCTCACAAAAATGTTTTAAAAAATTCTAGAATAAATTAAAAGTACATTTCGAACAAAAAGCACTTAAAATGTGACTTGTTATGAAATCGGTAGTACAGCCTAATCATCCATAAATTCCTTTCTCATCGCAACGTCCCACGACAACGTGCCATAATGCGGTCCCCACCCTCCAACTTTCCTTTATACCACGCCGGAAACTTTTCCGAAAAGCTCAAAAGAGCGAGCTTACTGGATAGAACGCGAACGCAGTGGCCCTTCTCAAGCCCCGCCCATCGTCGGGTACCTCTCGATTGTCCTTCGGCCGAAGGCAGCCCTAATAACGGGGAGAGCCTGGTAGGAAAAGCCACCCCCGGTGTGAGACGCGAGACTCAAACAGGGAAAATGACCTTGCCTTGCAGCGCGGCCCGAAACCCGCCCCTATAGAAAAGCACCGACAACGTCGACACAGACAGCGCGGCGCGTCGCGACGTCAGCTTCCAGCGCCATGGAAGGGCGCAACTGTCGACCGAAGTGTACCACCGACAAAAGGACGCGATTATGTACCACGAAGGCTCCTCTCGCAAAGCTCTTCCAAGGCAAGGCAAGCTCGAAGCAGCCGTCGTCCTTTGCGCCACTTTGCGTCTTTGTTGCTCTGTCACGCTCCTCTCCATTTCACTCTTCTTCGCTGTTGCATTTTCGTTTAGAGCTTTTATTCAAGTGCAATTCTATCGTTTCTAATCGCGTTTGATCTTGCACAATGTTTCATCATTTTAAGAAACATATAACATAATATTTCCACAATGAGATAAGATTCCCTTAAAATTATCAATTTGTAAAGAATTGAAAAAATATTGATATTATTAATATATAATTTTAATTGATAAACAAATTCTTCTTTTGAAAATATTACTTAAATATAGCTAATACTTTGTGCATAAATATTTTGAGAACATTTAGCGCGGTTATCAATATCTTGTTATATTTCTTGAGCAAATTTTATATGCTTTATTTTAATAGTTTTCACTTCACTTTTTATAATTATATATATATATATATATATATATATATATATATATATATATAACGATATTTAATTAATTATCTCCAGAATGTTTGACATGTTTTATGTAGTGTTCTTTCCATTTGCTTTTTTATTACATCATCACTTTTACTGTTATTTATCACTCTTCTTATTTTATGCTTTTCTCGTCTTATTGCGATTTTTATTTCTATTTTTGCGCTGTTTTCTTCACTCTTGCATCTTTATTCATCGTGATTCTTTCATCTTTGCCTTTTTTTCTTCTACGTAAAACATTATACTATCGCTTTCACACTCTTCAGCTTTGCATGTCTTTATTCATCTCTCATCTTCCACACGCGCTATATTTCACCTTCTCTCACCGTATCTTCCACCCTGTCATTTTCTCCTTCTCTCACGCACCGCCATTCTCTCTTCTCCTTCATATCCCTTCATCTCCTTTGCCGCTGCTCGTCTCCAACATTATCCTTGGTTCTCTTCTCACACTCTCCTCATTCACACGCTTCTCCCTCTACTGTCTTCACCCTGCCTCACGCATCCTCCTTCCCATTCTCACGCTTCTCCCTCCATCTCTTTCGCCCTGTCTGCTGCCTCGCCCCCTGAACTCTCTCTTTCTCTCTCTCTCTATCTCTCTCTTTCTTCCTCCATAGACCCTTCTCACACGCTACCTGAAGTTATATTTTCGTCCTTCTCTTCGGTATCGCGTCAATCTATCTCTCCTTCCCACTATTCTCTTCTCGTTTTACTTTGGTCGACAGAGACAGAACGAGCCGCTGCCGACGGAGGGGATGAACGAGAACAGATTGGTGGAGGCTATCATCGGCCGCGCGAGGGTGCAAGAAGCGAGGGGTGGTAAACCATGTCGTGGTGGGGGCCGGTATTGTTACAGTACTTAACGAGCGGCCGTAGCAATCAGTATCGTTCCCCGCTACCGAGACCCGCGGCACCCGGCAATTCTACCAATTTATATCAATCCCGGCCGAAGCATGGCCGACACGTAGCCAGAGACCATTTTGTTTTCTTAATGCCACTCGACCCAATCAACAACACGTCCCACGCGATCATCATCGCGGCCATTTGCTCCTTTCGGAGCCTGTATGTATTTTCGCAAATTATCCTTTTCGCAGAATTAAAGTTTGAAAATAAAGCGCTACATTGTATTAAACAGGCACTCTCTTTACATAAGCATTTCAAAAAAACTAAAAAATACGGAAAGAAGATAAAAATACGAACAAAATCATGAGACTTTAAAGTGCTTCGGCAGCTAAAAAACATGCACAACAATAGAATAGAGGGATAAAAATATTCTATTGTTAGCAATTGTGCTGGCAAACCCATATATGCACAAAAGAAGGTTCAGTGTTTCAAATAGTATGCATGCAA